CGGGTTTTCCTTTACTTTCATAAAACCGGCTTAAACACTCAAAAAATGCGCGTAAAACATCCAATCAATTTACATTCCATATTACGTTAAGGAATTTAAGCGTGTAATTACACGCAATTAATAAATTAGTTTACTACATTTTGTTAAATTTTGTATCTATTAAGTTTTAGTAGTAATATTTTAAAAAAATGTAGTGTATTGTTGCAAATATATCCTAATCCAAATCCAAAAATTAATCTAATTTATTTGAAGAAAATCAAAAAAATTCATACCAAATTTTTTGAAATATTATAAAAAAAAATCTCTATAAAAATGTTTTTTAAAAATCCTTAACTCTTTTACAAATTCAAATATATTTATGAAGATACTTAATTACCTGAAATTTCTTAAAAATTTAATCATGGAATTAGATATTATGTATATTGAAAAAAAATTACATTTTAACATTTTATGTCAACTGTAGTACATCAAAATCAAAGATATTATTATATATTAAGAGTCAAAGTACATAAAAACCGTAGAAGACCAAAAAGTAAAATTTATTATTTGTTAAATAACCCTTTAAAAAACCGGCGGATATAACACAGTGATTGAATTTTAGTTCAAAAATAACATAATTTCTTTCTATACATAATAAATAATTATTTTTTTTCCTAAATAAAATTCTGATTGTTTTTTTCATAAAGACAAATTTTATTGTTACATAAAATGTCCGGATGTGGATATTAATTATTGAAATGTAAATCATTAAATAAATAGATATAAAAAAATCGTCATATGATTCAACATTATATTTAATCTCGTTGAAATAATAGAAATCGCAGGAAAAATGTAATAAATTTGGTATAAAATTCATACGACTTATAATTAAAATGTTACGAGCTATTTCGAAATGATAACTGTTCATCGTTTTATATCCATTTAGGAGGAACGTCGTATTATAAAAATAAGTTATTCCATGAATTGAGTGATCAAGAAGAAAAAACGTCAATAAATTAAATAATCAATTTTTAATTACCTTATTTTTATTTATTCTGTATTCTTCCTTGTTGCAATTTAAATAAAACAATTCGCATTTTTTAATTGTTAATAATCTACGTTAATTAATACATATGTATTCTTGCTAATTTTTTTTAAATATACTGTGTTTTTTTTAATAATTAAAAAGCAACGTTTATTTATATTTGTAATTTAAATGATAAATGTTTACTTACTTTTTTAATAAATTAAATTTGATGTGAATTTAACATTTGGTTATGAATTTATAAACTATATTAAGTCTCCGTGTTTGTAGAATAAAATGAAACTTATTTCTTTCCATTAAATCATTTTCCATTAAATCAAATATATTTATAAAAAAATAAACGTAATATTTCTTCCAAAAATGTATTTTTTCTTTGAATTTGGAATTAACCGTCTATAATACTAGAAAATCAATGACACAATTATTTTCAATATTGTTTTCACAAATTTCTGTTCATTAAATCAAGTATATTGATATTTCTAAATCGATTTCTTCGACAAAAGTGACTTCACAAATGCAATTATTTTTTGAAAATTATATTGAAATTTGTTTGTTTACAGGTAAATTTAGATATTAAATTCTTGGTGAATCAAATATTTTATACAAAATTTATTAATTTATTCAAAATTGAGGCCTATAAAACCATTGAAACATTTTCTTTAATGACTTAGAATGAAATTTACTGCTGTTTCTTCACATAAATCTCATTTAATTTATTCTGATGGAACGTTTTAAAATTGAGTCTATATCACAAGCCGGACAACCGAAAGACCATCTATTAAAATCCCGACGTTCGAAATCCCGACTGTATCAAAATCCCGACGTAGAAATTTATAATAATAAAAGACACTGTCGGGATTTTTATTGTCTGTATTATGGTAGTCGGGATTTTGACATAGTCGGGATTTCGATATAGTCATGATTTCGAAAGTCGGAACTTTGAGCCATCCGGGATTTCGAACGTCAGGATTTTGAACGTCGGGATTTCGATAGACGGGATTTCGGTTGTCGGGCTTTCGATTGCCACCGTTTACAATTATATAGTTTTGAGATAATTAATTATATTTATAAGTATAAACTAAAACTGTATATATTTACATACAAAATTAACGAATTAACAAAATTGACGAAACTCCAACTTTAGTTCAAAATAATATAACAGTCAATGTTTATTAACTAATTTAATTAAATTTATTATAAATAAGGCGTAAAATCTTTTCCTTTAATCAATCTGGCTTTGATACAAAGTATGATGTTTGATATACTGATAGATCATGAAAATCTGAAACAACTATTTTTTTTCAAAAGCTCACAATAAAATCAAATTTTTGTTTCTCTCAATAAATCTCCGTCCTTTGCCTCGAATCCTCCACCCCCAAAATACGAGCAGCTGAAAAAGCAATCAATCTTTCATCGGGACGGCTGCAACAGCATCGGAGATCCCGTCTTTATTTCGTGAAGTTTATAATTTGTCAATATGGAATTTTCGGGTGCGTGGGCGGTGATGGAGAGCACAGAACAAGAGGATATATAATCCGGCGTTTGTTTGCACGTCGCCTTCGATCTTTCCATTCTCCTTCCGGCATCACGATAGAAAAAAAAAAACCCAAAGAACGGACCGGAAATGGCTGCGATTGTGTGCGTACGCGCCCTTATTATTAACACGCAAACACGGAAATCCGATAACAACGCCACGTCAGCAGATTCAATATTCTTCAATCATCTTTCACTTACGATAAATTATATATAAATTAAGATCTTCTATATTGAATAACACTTCACATTTTTATTAAAATCACTATTTCAGAATACAAAAATAGTTTACAAAATAATTTTATTAAAAAATATTTCAATGAGTTTTCACTTTTAATTTAATTTTGATCAAAACTTTCAGTAAAGTTAAAAATACGTTTAGCAAGAGTAAAATTAGAGATTTAACGGGTAGAAAATAGGTTTTAATTTGTTTCGTGTTTGTTTTCGACAAAAAAAAAAACAAAGTAAATAAATAATTTCGATTTGAAAGCGACTGGGCGAAACGCAACGTGTTTTCCTTCAACTCAATTAAAATTAATGGCCTCCAAAGCAGCAGCAAATTGGTGGAGGTTAGGTGGCAATTGATTCAAATGCAAATACCGGAACCGGAAGCGTCGAGGCCACTAGATTACGAAACGAGGATTCGTATTTTGTTTCATTATTATCGCTGTGTTTTTATTTTTATTTTGTTCGTTTTTGTTTTGTACGTTTTCCAGGAAATATCCAGGGATTTCTGGTAGCAATTTTCGTTGTATTCGCGTTCGGTGGCACGAATCGCACACTGTGTAAATGTCAATTTAAAATGTCACCACCGCCCCAAGTTTGACATTCAGCCGTCTTCGGGGCGGCTGCCGCAGTCGTGTCTCATCCGGATAAGCTAATCTACGTTTATACGCCTATCTGATCCATCCAAATCCACGCCGACTTGCCTATCTGTTTCACAAGCGGGTGGGAGGAGGTGGCAGGTTTCTAATTAATGAACCGCAAGTGGTTTGGGGGGAGAAATGGGGGGATACGGTCTCCCTTACACCGGGAGTGCAAGGAACTCGGGCGCAACAAATTTACCCTTTACTCTTTATTCAGGAATGATACAATAATGTAGCTTTGAATCAATAAAATATAAATAAAAACTGGTAGAAAATTTATGCATTTATGACTTTACCCCGTTTTACATCATGGTTGTTTGTCCCAAATTTAGCTTTTATTATTTCTTTCGAAATTATACAATAAAATAGATTTGAAAATATCCAATATGCATACAAATGCAAGAGACTACGATCATACCCCGCTTTACGTCGGATCATATTATCTATTCAAACTACCTTTACTTCAGTAATCATAAAAAACTATGATTTTATCAAATATACATAAAGAACCTAACATGTATATACGTCCTTGCCCCGCTTTACGTCGTCATCTATTATTTGTTACAAGATCAACGTTTGATTATTTCCCCGAAATTAAACAAAAAGAAAATTTTAATAAACATAAACGTGCTTCGCTTTACGTCGAATTTTTTCATATGTTTCAATTTTACTTGGAAAATTAATTAAATACAGCTTTGATCATATTGAATATAAATAAAAAAGCTAGGAAACGTAGATATGCACAAACCCGCTATACGTCGGAATCTATTCTCTATTTGAATTTTACTCCACTTTTCGAAAATATGAAAATATAAGAAATATCGACAAGATCGTATAAGTATAATTAACCTTACCCCGTTTAACGTTGCGAAATGTAATTTACAGTGTACACCAAAATGAAACGACGCAAAGTGGGGTCAGAAAATAATTTTGTTATTATGCTTGTATTTCGGTATAAAGAATTAAAATGTTATTGATCTTTTCTTATATATTAATAATTTAATAAAATTTTCATAAATACACATTTTCTTCTGAATAGGAATTCACCCTAAAAGGACTAAAGGGAATTGATTAATGAAAGTAAAAGGGGTGAATAATTTTTCCAAAAAAATAATAATAAAACATAACGCAAAAATTCACTTGATATTCATTTATTTCATTTTTTCTCTTCTCTCCTCTTCTCACTTTCTGCTTCGACTCGCTCAACTCTTCATCTTCTTCATTTTTTTTTTATAAAATATATTACACAAGATATCTACACTGTACAAGGTTCTTAAGTTAAGACTTTTTCATGTTTTTTTTTTTTCATTGTTTGTTCATCAATTTTCTTGTTTGTTTACTAACAATATCATAAATAAATAATTAAAATTACACAAAAAAAAATAAAACAAATAATAATGATAGTAATAATAATAATAGTGGAGAAACAGAGGAACGATTAGGAATAATATTACATACATTTACAAAATAGTCAAAACGTAAAATATATAGCACCAGTCGAGACTATAAATATTATATAATATATATATATAAAAAATTAATAAACAAATTTACAAATTTACATGTGTTTTTTTTAATCGATTTTCTACTCACCGTTCGAAAATTAAACAGAAGAAAGTATATGGGGGAAGGAGGGGGGTTTAAATTAAATATGACATTTTCTTCGTTTTGCTTAGAAATGTGTGAGATTTACATTAGCTAACAACGATAGCAACTAAAACAAGGATCGGGTTTGTTTATTTATATTTTTTTTTTTGAGAAAGGTAACTTGTTTTAATCCATGCATTGATTCTCTCTTTTATTCTGGTTTTGCTTGACTTCTGACTCATTTTTTTTTCCTTTGTTTTTTATTCTTCTTTCGTTTGTTTTTTCTTCTTTCGGTAAACGGAAATGATCTAACAGTGCTTAAATCTACTTTTGCATCACAGCTCCAGACGGCGCGGCGCGAAATGGCGGAAAACCAGTCCGATTCGGCTTGTTTCTTTGTTCCAATTCTCTCAGGGGAGGTTGCGTTAGGTAAATAGGGATCGATGCCACTCTCTATCTTCACGTTCTATGTACATTTGCGAAGAACCGAAGCGGACTTTTGTTAATTGTTTCTTTCTTATTATTTTGCTTTTCACTAGAGATTACACTTAGAAGATTCCTTTAATTTCGTACTCTGCATCATCATCATCATCGTCAACATGATCACTTTTATTTTGCTCCCGTTGCCGTGTCACAGTCACTTTATCACTTTGGAACACACCGCACACTTAATTAATATTTCTTCATTTTTTATATCAATTTTTAAATCATTCGAATGATTATCTTCACAGCAGGCCTCGCATTTCTTTAATATATATATATTTTTTGTGTGTGTATATATATATTTGGGTGTATATATATACTGACTCGATTATACGTGTATTAGAAAAGAGATCACAGTTCACTCGGCTTAACGATTGAGTAACACTTGGAACAGCAGCAACACCGAAAGGAGCACTGACAGCGACGTGGCTGCTGGATGATTGGTGGAATTGTTGCGGCTCAGACCGAGGGATTCTTCTGCTGTTGGGCTGCTACTCCTGGACACTTTACTCCTCGCCGCGCCTTCGATGTGATTGCTGTCCAAATCCAGGACCGGAGTGCCGCCCGGCCATCCCTCGGTGCTGTAGCGCCGGTAATTGCACTGATCGATGCTGTTCCGCACGTACGGCTTCGAGATGTTCGGGTAATGGAATTCCTCGATGTCTGTCCCCTAAACAACGATAAAACAAAACAAAAAACTAAGTTAGGAAACGGTGTCTCTGGAGGGAAAGTTTTCGGAAGAGTTTTACGTACCGGTAGTAAGGTGTAATGCGACGTCCTGCAGATGGCTTTGAAGGAACCCTTCGTAGTTGTTTCTTGGAAGCTGTGGAATTGGTTCTCCCAGTCGTACGAGACTAGGCGAGCTTCGAATGTCATGCCTGCCAACTCTGGAGGAGCTGCTATTTTAACTGGATTAGATCCTCTGTAAATCAAAAGAAATACATTATTTTTATGATATATTGAGTTGAAGGCAGTATTGTACAGATTATGATATGATCAAATTACTAATTATCTGATTAATGAAGTGAATGGAAGAATTATGAAAATATGTTTTTGTACTTACGGGCTGAGTTCCTGGATGCCTAGAGAGTGTAGAACGGTGGGTAAGCTGGGTAAGCTGTGGCAGGAAGTGAGGGACTTCTGCTTGGGATAGTAGAGACCCATTACGAGGCAGGTCTCCTCTCGGCTGGATGGGCCCCCCAGAGTGATGGCTGTGCGGCCGGAGCTGTTGTAAGCGCACTCCGCTATTAAATGATCCCCCGGCAGGATCTTGATGGGCGCCCCCAGCTTTCGATACTCCTGGTAATCCGCGTCCAGATTATCGTCGGCGGCGATCGGTGCCTGCTCGACGCCGTTCCTCACGTGCCTCAGGGCCACCTGCCTTCCTATCCTGTGCGTTTTCATCACGACGGCGAACATATCGATCCCTTTGTGAGGGAATGCCTGTCTCGTGCAGTCTGCGACGCAGTGTCCGGAGGAGACGACCCTCTGCTGACCGGGCGGTATGATGTGCCTCCAATTCGGATCTATCCCAACGGAAATGACACCCGCGTCGTGTCTACGCAGCTCAGGTGTGTAATACAGTCGGAGCCCTGTGCCCTCCAAAGCCCCTAAGCTTCCGTCGCTGGGGGCGGCGTAATGCGTTTCCAACAGATAGTAACGAGACCCGGTCGGCTCCAAAGGATATCCCGCCTCCGGTGGGAAGCTGAATCCCTCCGAACCCCGAGCCCAACTGGCCACCACCGTGTTGCAACCCAAAAGGGCCGTTCCAGGCTTATGGCATTGCCTACCGATACTCTTCGACAGGCCGACAACCTCCGCACTATCCTGACACTCGTACAAAACTACGTGCTGTAATCCATCCATAGCCGCTGACGGTTGCAACGGTTCATACTAAACACACGCAAAAGAAAAAACAAAAATTAACTACAATCAACAAACAAAACAAATAACTTTACTAATTACACAATAAAACAATGGGCATTGACGAATGAAGTCGTAACTACAGCAATTCCAATTCCCAGATTACAGTCACAAGCTAATCCACACTTACTCTAATTAAATGATGTTTGCGGGACAGACTCGGCAGACGGAACACACGGCACCAGTAGAGCGTGTCGCCAGGGGCTGGTGGCTCCACCGCAGGATTACGCAATTCCCATTCTCGGGCTGTCTCATCTGGTCCTGGCGCATCCTGGTCGGCCCTTTGTACCAGGTACAACGACTGAGTACCGCGAGATTCGGCATCGTGCAACGGCAACGATCCAGGACCCACGGCACCACCAACCGGTTCGCTCCTATGGTACAACCATACCACTCTCATGGTATCATTCTGTAACAAAACAAAAACAACACATTTCTTCAGATATTGCTCATTTAACCTTAATTAGAGTTTAAATATACGAAATAACGAATTTGGAAAAAGAGGTTTAAGATGCAAAGCAAACGCGTTCTTTAATTAACTTAAGCTAGATTAGATTTCAGGATAAACACCATTTTATCTCTCTTCATTCTATTTTTTTTATCCTGTAAAAGTCTTTTGTACTAAATTACATGGGCCGGAATTAGGGGGGTAATTAGCGTTCTTAATGTTCTTATCTGGTCAGCGCCGCTCGAACACGAAATAATCAATTAACTTAAAAAAAAAACATTCTTAACCGAATACGCTTAAATAATTAATGAGCTAACATGAATCCACCTGTTACTTAAACTCACTGAGAGAGAAAAAAACCATACAAAATCAGGTATTTCCTTTAGTTTTAAAATTCCGATCATAAATAAAACAGGTCAGAATCAAGCCTTTATCATTTTCGTTTTAATTAAGTTTGATCAAATTAAATTTAAGCTACTTAGAAGTGAGTTAATTGTATCGAATGATCAAATTTATAAACAAGAATGAATATCGAATTTCAATGGACGTGGATGATGATTAATCGCATTGGAAGCGTTGATGTGTGGAGACGCGGCAGTTTCTCGATGCAGCAGTAATTCTGTTGATGAGACGCTTTCGTCCCCTTCCTGGCATTAATCTATATATATATTTTTTAAAAGTCGATTTCAGCAGAAAATCTTGAATAAACACGGCGCGAAATAAATAAATTAAATGTAAATAACGAGTAAGCAGTTTTTGAGGTGGAACGTAAACACAAATATTTCTTTTAATTAGAAGCGATTTTTTTTTGATTATACTCGCAAACTTTCGTTCGGTGAAGGTAATCATGCTTAATCCTCTAAACCGAAGACATAAGTAATTGGGGTCCTGACCATATGGGCTTTTTTCCCCCAAATATCACCCTTCCCCCTCGAAGACCCATTAAAGTGTCAGCGTTTTTCTCGCACATCGTCCTCCTTCTTTCTCGCAATGATTAATTAGCGAAGCCATTAGAGGAGCAGATGATGATATCGGTAGAAGAGAAACTCACCGTTATTGGTATGTCATGGTGGTCGCAAGTATCCAGCTTACGGCTGAACCTGAGTACGGTGTGCGTGCTGTTTTCGTATCCCAGGAGCAGCTGATAATCCTGGCTGGTGTCCACTTCCGGCTCCTTGTCCGGTGCGTTTCCTTTCACGTGTCTATCCTGCAACAATAAAAAAAAAACAGTTTCGCATTAGTTCTCGTATAATTTAACATGTAAATCGGTTGATTTCGCCGCGTCGAAAAGTAAATTAGTTTTAAGTGTGCCTCTCTCCGACATCTGGCCAACGGAAGGCGCTGATGGTGATGATGATGATGATGAAAGAAGATGAAAAAAAGAGAACAAGAAAAAAAAACCTGTTCCCAATCCGTTTCGATGAACTTGCAATTTCAACAATCACTTCTAAACATTCTCCAATAATCGAATTAAATCCATTGTGAGGTGCACTCATTAAGTCCTTTCATCGGATCGAATTGCTTTTCGTCAGTGGAAGCAGCAAAGAAGTCGAGAGATAAGTGAATCATTATAAATAATTAATTCGGGTTTTGCAGAACGCTCTAAAAGAATTGGATGCGAACGGCAATTAACTACGATCGGTGATGTACTGAAGTATCAATTTCAAAGATGATTGCTCGCGTACTTCCGGACTACCGTTTACTTTTTCTTTTCAGGAGAAGAAGGAAAAATCTCTTTTAAGAAGATTAGAAATGGGAGAGGGATGCCGACTCCGCGCGTCAGGGTTAAAAATAAAAATGGAACAAGAGGGGAGAAGTCGTGTTCCATTGTTGTTCTTTGTTTCTCGTCTTGCTTTCCTCCATCTGGGTTCGATGTGTACGCGAGTGTGTGTGTATGTGTGAGAGGGAACGCAGAAGCCGAGATTTATTACAGGCTTCAAAAACACATGTCTGTAGATAATGAAGTGATAGCGGCTACCGAGTTTTCGTCGAAATGAAAGAGATTAAAGAGAAATGCCGTTTCGGAATGCTTCTCGTATAGTTTTCCTTGGTCTTTATTTTTTTTTTTAATTTTTTTTCGTTTACTCCTTCCTTGTGAGACTCTACGGAATGAAGAAACAAGGGTTGAGTGGTTCTCCTTTTTCTCCATCCATTAATCAAATTTAATTAATTAGACCATATAGGGAGAACAATTGTTGCTGCATTTTGGTCCAATTACGCTGAGACGACGACTACGTTACGTAATCTTTCGCATCGGCAGGGGGAGAGCCGCGTGTGCGGTCCTTTGGGCGCACCTAGATTTACGGCCTTCGCTTTGCTTCGCTCCAAAACCTCTCCTTACACATGCCCACAATTGACACGGCCTTCCTTCCCTTAATCACTCAATTAATAGTCCTGCTCCGCAAAATAATAAAGCAGCGCTCCTTCCTTTCGCTCATTTGAATGCGACCATAAGTAGTCCTCATCCTCTCAACCTCATCCTTCTCCACCACGCTGCGCGTTCGATCCTTTAAGAAGATCGAAATCAGAACTCCATTTGCATTATTTATGCGAAAATCCACAATCTGATTCGCAGCTCGCAGCCCTCATAAATTATGAAGCAATTGAATCGGGCCTCCTCAATTAAACTCGTTCCAGTTCTACTCTCTCTCTTTCTCTTACAAACCTTAACACCACTAAATGGGCCTTCCTTCGCGGTGCGTGGCAATAAAAAGGTAATTAACAACGGGAGTATCATTGGTTACGCGCCATAAAACTCTCCCCCGAAAGCTTTCAGCTGTTTATGTCAGCTTTTCCCCGCTATGTTTTTGTTTTTATCCCACCTCCGCCGCCATTCAGCCAATTCCGATTCCGAAGGAGGTTTGGCCCGGAATTAATGAGAGACGTCCTTTCAGTGGAATTAATTCAGTTCCAAGCCACCTCCTTCCTCCACAAAAGAAAAAAAAAACGGAACAACTCGTCCGATTCATTCCAAAGCGATGATTCAACGCACAAAATTAAAATTTATCATATCAATTTACATAAAAATATGACTGTAGATTGTTTGTAGAAAGTTTGTTTCAGTTAGTTAATTAAATATATAATTTCTTATAGAAAATGATTTAGATTTCATTGGAAGAAGAGTTTTTGTAAGTTTAGGTGATATACGTATTTGTTGAGTTAATGATGTCTTTGGGAATGTGAGAAATTCAAAAGTAAGTGACCAGTTGTGAGTGTGTTTTTTGTTGCTGTTGCTGCTGCTGTTAGGAAGTGCTTGAAATAGCTACGTTCGTTTCTGATATACCGGTATTTCCTTATAGACGAAGCGGAGGAATGAATAGTCGCAGTGCGCAAGGGCAGCGTTCTTATGATGAATTAAAAATGGTTAAACGGCAATAAAGAAATCACTTAGGAAAGGTAAATAAAGAGCGGATAAGATCTTGGGAAACGTAGGAAAGAGCTGGTCTGCGGTGGTGAGAGACTTGTTGGCAAAAAGATGGAATCTGCGAGGGATCATAATAATAAGTAACTCCGCGCTCCGGCAGCTACTGGGATTGTTGTTTCTTGCCATCGGTCGAGTCTGCTTCCTTTTGGCTTGTCGCCTCCTCTATTCTTCTCCGGTCCGAAGCGATCGATGATGATGATTTTGCCCCCTTTTATGTGAGTGTAAAGTCCGGTGGTCGTGCGGAATGTGGGAAGATGTGAGTGTGCGTCTGTATATGTGTGTGTGTGTGTAGTGACCGAGAAGAAGGACGGATGGTGAGCTGCGATCGAGGAAGAGGTGGAACGGAGAGAGGAGAAGAGAGAAGAACTCGTTGACGAGATTATCTCTGGGCATATCACATAAATTACTATAAACACCGAGCCTCCTCCCAAGGACCGGTCGAGGCTCTCACCAGACCATCGGGCGAGTGCGAGTGGAACGGAAGACGCGCTCCGGCATTAACATAACAAGTTCCATAATAGTATTTCATCTTAATGTCATCTAAAACTGTATGCTAATATTTCCATTGCGAGAGACGGAGCAGAGTGAGAAACAGCCTTCTTTGTTCGCTCGTTCCCGGGAAAAAGGTAAGATGAAAGACGGAAGAATAAGAAAAAAAATAGAGTTTCAGCTACTGTTGCACTCATCGTCATCATCATCATCAACAACAAACAACAGTATCGTATGGAAATTGTTTCTCTTTTGGAACCGTTAGAAGGGCGGTCCTAGCAATAATAATAACACGGTCAACTCTTTATTACTGCCGTCAGCGTACTTTATAGCCGTCGTATGCTAATGCGAGGCATTTAGATCGGAATCTTGTCGCGCAGCTACTTTGTGTCGGGCCGGGGACACTAAACCAAGTTATCCTGATCCAGGTCTACACTCTGTCTCACTCCTGCATACCCTAAACGCCGAATTCCGAACCAACCCTCGTGTTTTACAAATTCCGAAACACCCAGAAACCACCGAAAGACCTTCCACACCAAAAAATAAATAAAATAAAAATAAGTAAACGACCACAACAAGAGCACAGCTAAAACCCACGATAGACCCGTAATTGCCTTCGGAGATTCCTCGAACGAGTAAACATTCCGCATTGGAATAATTATGATGCAACAAAAGGAGTAAATTAACCTACGGGTCTCTCTCTATCTCTGTGTGTATGTGTGTTGTTTGAACGTGTGTAGTATGGAAAGTTCTGGGACCCGATCCACCTACAAAATCCTTTTTTAATGAGGACTCGAAATCGTGCGCTCATTATTCGGGCTTTAGCCGGAGAAATGTGTACAAGAGGCACGGAATCTACCTGAAACATTTAATCTTCCTCGGCTAAACGCAATCGAAGCAATCGATCCACTCCAGAAATTAATCTCTCCAGATATACCATCGTTTCCTTCCAGCGCAAAATTCGATGATCCAAAAACAAATACTATTCCAACCATCATCATCATCATCCATGAGTGATGACGGTTGGTACAGTTGAGGACTATCTTATGTAATGCTAGATTATAATTAGTGGAGATGGTTGGTAAGTGATGTGTGCGAGTGTGTTTGAGAAAGCGCGCATGAGTTGAGTTGGTCGTCAAAGTGATGTACATGTAATCCAACGTACAATGTCTTTCCTCGTTCAAGTTTATCTATTGCCGTGCAGCCCGAAGACGTTAAACTTAATCTATTTAAACACGCCGGAATTAATCCGCCAGTTATAACTTCTGAATTTCCCGCACTAATTAGAATGCAGCTCAATAACGAAACGAGAACTATGACGATGAGACCGAATAAATGTATATTATTATAATATTATGATCATACTAGGCATGAATCTAAATGAAAGATCATTAACTCTAAGAAAAGTTATTAATACTAAAAATTTAACCACACTACACCTAATGTGTGAGACGTAACTAATCATATTTAGTAACGTCTTTTAGGGGACGCTTTACAAATTCATTTATGTCTCATATTACGTTTAGTACGGATGCAACATTACGCAATTCTTTAAAATAATTAAACGTAACGTGCGGTAATAACCATGATTAATAAAAAAAAAATAATAAGAATGGTCCGGGTCCCAAAAAGAGTTATTAATAGTAGAAGCCTGACAAGTTTAGCATCCCCCTTTTAGCCACACACGATTATTTAACATTTTCCGCTTGCATTCATCCCTCCCTTGCATTTTTATATCGCCGTTTCATGTATCACATATTATATATTTTTTTCCCTGTATTACCGTTGCGAACGAGCGAGGAGATTCCCCGCTTTTGTTGTTTCTGTCCGGTCCGGGGAGGGTGGTGTACCATTATAAATGACCCAGACAACCCCGTACCGTCCCACTGCAGGTCCGAAATATTATACACATTTTGTTTCGCTCTAAACGCGGAATAAATGGAAATTTCAATCGTAAATCATATTGTGCAGCCGGGAGGGATGAGTGAGGTGGAGAGAGGGTTGCGAGCGTAGAAAGAGCGGCTCGCGCGATAATTTAGAGTCATAAATACAGAATAATAATTAACAAACGCAAACATGTTTAAATCACGGAACGCCGCTAATGTGGAAACACGATTTATTCGCGCGTCCCGCGTATAATAAGAGACGCAACGACAACATAAGGAAAAAAAGGTCAAAAACGAAACAAATAGATAGAGAAAAAAAAAGGGAGAGAGTGTTGTTAAATAAATATTTATACGTGTACAAAATGCATTCGCGTTTCGTACAATTGCTTTACTACGCGCCGCATACATTTAAAATAATGTTCAGTGATTTAATTAACGGGTTCGGGCCACCCCTCACGGCCCTTGGTTACACTGTTTTTCCCTTTCATACTCGTATCTCTCTCGAGCTCACTCTATCTCTCTCAAAGCATTAATTTCCATAAATTTGTTACTCTCTTCTTTTTATTGCACCGAGCTTTAATCCTCTAATTACTCAATGTCTCCTATGTTTGTTTTACCTTAAATTGGTTGGAACATGCGGTTACCGGACTTATACTGTATGATAGATGTTGTAGTTAACATTTACTGTAACAATGTTGAATCCATACGTGAAATAAGACATAATCGTGTGTCAAATATAACAACTTTCATTAAGGAATTTTTAGAAATCCTGTACTAGTTTGGATTCATAATATAAATATTATATTCTAAGATTTTAGTTCTTAGTCAATACTGTAACAATGTTGATACAAAAACAGATTTTATAATTATTATTTAGTAACGTCTTTTAGGGGATGTTTTTTATATAGTACGCTTTACAAATTCATTTATGTCTCATATTACGTTTAGTACGGACGCAACATTACGCAATTATTTAAAATAATTAAACGTAACGTGCGGTAATAACCATGATTAATAAAAAAAACTAATAAGAATGGTCTGTGTCCCAAAAATAGTTACATTTACTGTAACAATGTTGAATCCATACGTGAAATAAGACATAATATAGCAACTTTCATTAAGGAATTTTTGGAAACCCAGTACTAGTTTGGATTCATAATATAAATATTATATTCTAAGATTTTTGTTCTTAGTCAATACTGTAACAATGTTGATACAAAAACAGAGTTTATTATTATTATTTAGTAACGTCTTTTAGGGGATGTTTTTTATAGTACGCTTTACAAATTCATTTATGTCTCATACTACGTTTAGTACGGACGCAACATTACGCAATTATTTAAAAAAATTAAACGTAACGTGCGGTAATAACCATGATTAATAAAAAAAATTAATAAGAATGGTCTGGGTTCCAAAAAGAGTTATTAATAGTTACATTTACTGTAACAATGTTGAATCCATACGTGAAATAAGACATAATATAGCAACTTTCATTAAGGAATTTTTGGAAACCCAGTACTAGTTTGGATTCATAATATAAATATTATATTCTAAGATTTTTGTTCTTAGTCAATACTGTAACAATGTTGATACAAAAACAGAGTTTATTATTATTATTTAGTAACGTCTTTTAGGGGATGTTTTTTTATAGTACGCTTTACAAATTCATTTATGTCTCATATTACGTTTAGTACGGACGCAACATTACGCAATTATTTAAAAAAATTAAACGTAACGTGCGGTAATAACCATGATTAATAAAAAAATAATAAGAATGGTCTGGGTCCCAAAAAGAGTTATTAATAGTTACATTTACTGTAACAATGTTGAATCCATACGTGAAATAAGACATAATATAGCAACTTTCATTAAGGAATTTTTGGAAACCCAGTACTAGTTTGGATTCAAGATATAAATATTATATTCTAAGATTTTTGTTCTTAGTCAATACTGTAACAATGTTGATACAAAAATAGAGTTTATTATTCTTTAACCAAGATTACTATTTTCCAGATATCTTTAGGGATTTATTTATTTAGGTTGTTGTATACTTCGTTCGGGTCCGTCAGAAAAACACTGACTGACAAAACTGACAACATCAAATATTTGAAGATGTCGGCTACGCAAATACCGCGCTGATAATTGAAGGGACAAAATGATAAATGTTTATCTCTGTTTGTAGATGCACTTACTTGGAAGTAGACTTGGCCTTTGTCCACCCATCCGACGACCATGTCAGCACCGGCCATGCTGCCGTCCCTCGAGAATCCGAAGCCGACGTATCCGAAGGTCCTGACCTGCAGTTCGAAGGTGATGTCCTGAGGGCCCGGTCCTAACGACCACAGCAGGACGTAATTGGGATTCAGAGTGGCCGAATGCGACCATCGGGCCGCATCCGCCGAAGCCCAGCTCATCGCAACTGCGAAGAGCATAAGTAGATCGCGTGCAGTTTCCATTTCTTTCCTCATGGAGAGATGCGGAGAAACGAAGTGAAGAAAAAGAAGAGAAAAAAACGCACAAATTACGTGTGTCTCGACGAACGGGGGAATGAGAGACCTCGGAGCGATCACTCTTCGAGCATCATCTGGAAAAGAGAAAATAATTAGAATTTAATTTAATTACGGACGGAAACATCGCGTGTCTTCATTTATTGGATTCCGCGTTGCTTTTGTTTCGTTGCTCGAGGGGGCTGGGGCGACGGAAATGACAGTTGCAAGCGAGAAGAGAATTTCTGCTCTTCAGAGTCTGGATTGGGGGGATGAAGAGGAAGGAGGAGGCGGTAGAAGGATGGATGGATGGAAGGCTAAACAATACTCACTCGAGTTGATAACGACCGGGACTAGTAGGAGAAAAGGGTTCGGGTGATGGGCTTATATAGTTTAGGCGCAAGTTCGCAAGAGTTCATCATTCCATCTTATTAAATTTACTCGTATCTCAAGCAAATTGAATTCATTTGTGCATGTATCCACTGCGACTACTCCTCATCATCACCATTATTATTATTTTGACGAATTTCTCGCGAATCCCAAATTCAACTAATTACATTTTAGCTTACATTCCTTGAGAAACGCTACAACTTACATCTATTAAAACCATAAAGTCAAAATTAAATACCAAAAATCCTTACAAGATCGTAAACCCAATTGCAGCTCGCTTAATAGGTATGCAAATGAAAGAAATTTTAATCCCACAACAATAAATAATAAAAAAAATGCTTATAAATAATTTTAATGGAAGCCATTATGCATTTATTCGAATTCCGGATTTACATAGTTATTGTCGGCAGCGAGAATAAATAATATATTCATTTAAATACGCACATAATTCTGCGTCCCATATTTGTTTTTTTTCAAATTTAAATTAAACCGCGCCAAAATAAATGCCCGATATTCACGTAATTTCAACCTCACATCAACAAACCAAAACTGGTTTTTAGATTTCTCCAAAGGAATTTCATACTAATGAATACCAAAAATTTCAAAGAAATCAAAGCAATTGTAGTTTTTTTCTCTTAAAATAATTAATTCGATAAGAAAAAAAAATGAAATTTTTAACTTTATTAAATATTAATCTTCTTTCGATTGAGGGAATTTTTCCGCTCGGCATCGATTCGTTCCACAATTACCAGCACATAATAGGACTGAAAACCGAGTGCATTATGTAAGTTATAATAGGATATATAGACGACGACTGCGAGGCCGAGAGAACCTCTTAATTATTTATTTATTTTCGTTGGCGCAATCGAAATTTCGTCGAATCGAAATCTTCGGATTAATTAATTAAAGCTGTTCCACCATTTAACGACCGCAATTAAAAATGTAGTTTCGTTTTCTTCTTCTGATATATAAAATTTCTTTTTTTTTAGATTTTAAAGTTAATGGCTTCATTAATGACTCCCGAATATCGTATTATGATGCGCCTCGTATTTCTTTTCGTCCATTGTTCCCCCTTTGCGATGCATTCGGGAATTTTTATTGTCCTTTCCGTGAAGCGCATAATAATAACAAACAGCTTTGGGTATGACGCTACATCACGAGACACAAAGCCCGTGTGTAATATAATGAAATAATGGAATAATGGAAGAAAATAAAACGAACGCTTAGCTCATTTCATGCGTGTTAAGTATTGAAAACTTCCCCAAACAGAACAGTCCTATAAGATGAAGGCAAAAAAAAAAAGTTGAAATTGTATTGCATTCTTCTATAATAAAGCCACGTTTTGGAATTAAATGGATTTCGATTAAATTTATTAATACTCTCTTTTTTTTAATATGTCCCCAGACTCCTTTTGTATCAAGTTTCCTTTGCTTGTCACACGATGCTGGAGCATGGAAAGAAGAGAGAAAGAGAGAGTGAAAAATATATATATCAGGGCGGACGGATATTGGGGCCGACGGCGTTTGGGATTTCAGTTCGTGAAATGTTAGACCGATATAATATGTTTTTCTCCGTTGCTTTTGGTGTCCTTGTACTGGCGCGAAGAGGAGAAATCCGATAGCACAGAAAGCGGATCCAAAATATTTACACTCGCATCTGCTTTAATAATTTGTATCCCCCATAAATCATTCGCTTCGTTTCGTTGTTTTTTTTTCTCTTCATCTCTCCTTTATTTCTGACAGCCCAGGGCGAGAAAACGCGCTGCAGAACTAATTTTTACGATGGATCTCGTGTTTTGACATTTGTTCTTATCCCTAAGCCATCGGGGGATATAAGGTTTCACCTACGGTCGCAGATCTTCTAATAAATTCATCTCCTTTTATATGCATTAGCTTTTTTCTCTCACTGGTAGACCCGAAGTCTAGGAAAACTAATTCCAATGTAATCTTTAAAGCAGATAAATTCAGGATAATGAAAACTGTTTATATCTTATTGGAATTGATATTCAAATTATTTATAGTAACTGAATTAATATTAATAAATTGCTTTGAATTGAATGGAAATTGAAATAGATTGAAACCTGACCTGGTGGATTTGAAGCCATCAATATTTTGATGAACGAATCAAAATATTCCCATTATGCGTATGGGGGAGAGGCGAAGGAACGGTCGGATTTCGGAGCGTGAATTAAAGAAGGACGAAACGTCCTTTTATGATTCGAGATTTTTCATTGAAACGCGATATGTTTTGATACGTTCAGGGGTTTAACTCGGCGGTAAAGGAAATACAACCAATTTCGAATTCCTTCTCTTCCTCCTTTTTATATCGGATTTCTTCCTTCCCATTCGATCCGTGGATCTCTCGAGGGCCCCCACACGTGTTTTGACATTCGTTCGACAGTTCTTAGGCGCGTTTCCGGCCGCCATTGTTTCCAATTGCCCTCCTCCCCTCGTCCATCCTACGTTCAATTCAGACGCATCAACATCAGCAATTGTAGCCCGCATTTCGTATTCTCGACAGGTAAAAACCGAAGACTTGCACATACAAATACACGCACGCACATACAATGCTGCGAGGGGTGAGAATTCGGGTTTTATCCTCTCGTCCCACTGGGGGAGGCTTAACGTTTCGACCGAATTACACACGGGGATTTCTCTATTTATTTCGGTTGGAGCTGTTCTCTTTTTCTCTCTCTTTATTTCACATTACGAATTTCAACCGTGATTCCTACAACATTCTTTGGTACAACAAATAAATTATTTGTAGACCAAAGGTCTATAAAAAAAACATATGGAAATGCTTAATAATGATGATTATATAGTTAAATTTTCAATCGGTAATCTCCTTTTCTCAGCTACGTTACGATATTTGCCCGTGATTTCTACGACCTTCTTCCACTTGTCTTTCTTTTTTGGAACAGCTTCTCTTCCGAAGGCGTATAAGTAATGTCGGTGAAGAGGTCTCAGTGAAGAAACCGGTAGCGGAGCATTCATAATTTCAATTAATCCCGCTTCTGTTTTCTCTCTTTCTCTCTCTCTGTCTCTCTATAACTCTATATATACATCCTAGACCACTCCGAGACTCACGGTGTAACTAATTGTTTTCGAGGTAGCGGAATGGAATGCGTGCACGGAAATTGAACCTCCGCTGGGAATGGAAAACAGGATTTTGAGGAATATGCATGGGATTTTATTGGGAAGCCCCGGAGTCCGGAGATGATATTTATGACTACCCCGAGTCAAGTGCAGCGCGCTTCCCCGGAAATGCGCCGCCCGCACATCCGCTCCATCAAATCGCTCCTATTTTGGATTGGATGGATGGAGGAAACTCGATTGCGGAGCACAACCATCAGCAAAACTGTTCTTTAACTTTATAACAGAATCCACAACAATAACACACCCAAAAAAAAAATGGATAAAGAAATCTAATACTGTCAGCCACGTCATGAAAATGTCGCATTAAGACTGCTCCACTCATCCTCTTCTGGAAAAGCGGAGAAATACATAAAACACGAACCGCAGACCGGCAAGATGCTTGCATAATAAATGCCGTGTCGACGTCTCTTTCTCTCTGTGTGCGCTAAAAACGGCTAAAAAGCTCTTTATATCATTCGTTCATACTTTTTCCTCCAACAGTAAGAAGCTTCCAACTCTCGTACTCTCTTCCGGCATAAATAATATAACATTCCGCATTTAATAATGCAACTTCAAGGAAATTTTATTTTTTAAATATTTTTCAAATCACCGCAACTAATTCAAAATACCTCGAATTGCGCTACAAAAACTCAGTATTGTCCGACGCCTAGGCGTGTAAATACACCGTTTTACGGTCGAGGTCTTAACAACGTGAATTTACATGATCCGCAGGAATGCAACGAACGTAAACATAACGGCGCGTAATTTATATCCCTTCATTACACTAATGAAGTACTAAATTTTCCGTGGTCGAAGCCCGAATCTTCATCAAACCGAATCTTTCCCTTAATTTTTTTTTCTTCTTCTACATCGCCCGCTTTTCGCAGGTATAAAACGCGGAGAATCAATCCCTTTTGTTCAGTTTCCTTCGTCTTTTCTCCTTCACTTTTGCCGAATATATACGGACGTCGAAATTCCTGATTATTCCATGAATAAATGTTTTAAATTACGAGAAGAAGCACCTTTTACCAAAATCACTAAAACAAAAAACCCCAATTTTTAAATAGTTTCCTTTCCTCACATAGAAAAAAAAAAGGACCTGATTAATATTTATCAGTTTTACCGACGGATAAAAGGACCAACCGAAAACTTCATCCTTTTCGGACGTTGATAAATTAATTTCGCCGCTTTTAACTTCTATTTCTATTCATTTACTTAATACTTCTCTTTAAAAGCTTTCGCATCGGAAAATGTATATACGTGCAATTAGCTTAGAAAAACGTTCAAGTGAAAAGAACTCTTTGAACTTTACTTTCAAATAAAAGTTTCGAGCTTTGTTAAATCGAATTCTTTAATCTACTATTCCTAATCTTAAACTGTTTCCGAATACGTAATGTAAATCTATTCATTGATTGATCCAAAACTAAATATACAAAAGTTCACTAAAAATATACAATTTCTTTGTAAAAAGTAGATGACGTGGGTCTCGTCAACGCAATAATTGCGTCTTTGTTGTCATTTAAACGAGCTTAAAAAAAGCTTAAGTCCGTGCTTCCCGGACGGAAAGCAGCCTTTGAGAAATATGAGGAAAGTATTATTGAATAAACTTTCCTTCTGCCCGAGAAGAAGAATGAAATAAAAAAAGATCTTATACGCTCCAACGAATTTGCTGCACAAGGCAGAATGGAAATACAGATTTCACAAACAAAGCTTAATCGCTTTTTTATATATTTGTGCACTATATACCTTACATAAGCTTTACGAAATCTTCCGTGTTATTGTCGAACTGAAATCAATCGACCCGAATATTTTTCAAAGCCTTTTTTTAAAACGAAATAAGTTTTTTAAACGTTCAAATTTATATATTGTAAATCTACTCTAAATTCAATATATGAGCTTTTCTCATTTCAAGAATAGAATAAAACATTAGAATTAGAGTTTTTTTAATTTATGTTTTCAATTGTGATTCGAGCAAATTTTACTTTAACTTCAAACTTTTCAATTTATTTTATAAAGTAAATTTCTAATAGAAATTTTGTACTTTTATAAAGTAATTTATAAAAAGAATTGTCCAATAAACTGAATATTTCAATAAAGCTCTTGATTTTGATGCATTCTGAGAAGTTTTAATACTTTTTGAATTCATAAATGATACGAATGTTTACGTCCTTTATATTTTTCTTCAATTTAGATTAGAACTTTATTGAGTCCAATTTGAGAAACTGAAAAGGAAGTTCAATTCCGTCGAATTAAGCTTTTTTTCCAATAAAGGTCCATTAGTTGAAGTTGTAACAAAAATTGAAACTCTTGGTCCACATTATTACTGTGTTTTCTTCATTGTTGGAACGATGAAACTTGGTCGATATTTGCATAATACTTCTTTACCGAAGGTATAAAACTTACATAATTTTTGCGTTGGGCGATTTGCCGTAAGTCCAATTGAAATAAAGTATAAACACACTTTTACAAAACTCTTCCAAACAGAAATAATAATATTACTAAATATTAAAAGCGCACTGTATTTTTATATATATATAAATCGTTGGTTTTGCTGCTCTTGGAACGAACAATATATTTCACATATCACCACTTTAGTAAAAGCTCAACTGGTGCGCGCGTATCAAGCACATGCATCGTAAGCACACTCTCTCTCGGGAGGTGTGATTTCAAAAGCGTAAGCACGATGTTCACTACACGAGGCTTCGCGTTTGACTGACTGGACTCACTGGAGCTTTCGAACGCTACGTGAAATGCGCTCCGGGCACGAAGAGCTGAAGCCTATACTTCGTTCTTGGAAACCGGAATACAGGGCTGTAGTGGGAGAATATCGGGTAAGCCGAGCATGGGGCAGGCGCGCGCTCGCTACAACCGAACGCGCACCATTCACGTGCAGACGCTTCCCAGAGAATCATCGCACGCTTAAAATGCAGATTGCTGAACGGAATCTATACCCACTTTTCCATCTAACTGAAGAATTGAATCAACGAAAGCTCGCCGTTACCATTATTCATAGATCTTCCTCCTATTTCGGATTGTACTTCACCTTTAAGAACTTATACAAATGGATTCTTAACTCTATACTTGGTACATTACTTTTACCTTTACTTTATTTACTCAATTGCAATTCTTCATTCACATTCATTAATCTAAACTGTGCTTTATTCTATAATTTATTACAACATTTCTTAATTTCTTCTATTCAATATAAATTTTACTTATTCTTCACTTAGCAATATTGTTTGCATACATAAAGACATTTTATTTTTGCAGCAATCTTTAAACTCTAATATTTCTATTAACTTAATATTTAAAATAACTTAAATTACTCAGTACATTTTTCTTCATTCTTTATTTAGTCTTCAATGTAATATTTTTATACTAACTTAAATGTATTGCATAAATTTAAAGCGAAGTTATATGTGTTCACCTTAATATTTAGATATATTTTTGAAATATAATTTGTATAATTTTTCTTCATATATTATAAAGTTAATTTATTTCTCATAATATGACATCAATATCTCACCAATACATTTTATTGTGTACTATTTTGTACTTTATGTAATTTTTCCAATTTTTTAGACTTCATTTTTCTTTTTATTTATATTAATTTATATAGATAACTAAGTTCAAAATAAGAACGGAATCTATTCCCACTTTTCCATCTAACTGAAGAATTGAATCAACGAAAGCTCAAATATTACATTGAAGACTAAATAAAGAATGAAGAAAAATGTACTGAGTAATTTAAGTTATTTTAAATATTAAGTTAATAGAAATATTAGAGTTTAAAGATTGCTGCAAAAATAAAATGTCTTTATGTATGCAAACAATATTGCTAAGTGAAGAATAAGTAAAATTTATATTGAATAGAAGAAATTAAGAAATGTTGTAATAAATTATAGAATAAAGCACAGTTTAGATTAATGAATGTGAATGAAGAATTGCAATTGAGTAAATAAAGTAAAGGTAAAAGTAATGTACCAAGTATAGAGTTAAGAATCCAGTTGTATAAGTTCTTAAAGGTGAAGTACAATCCGAAATAGGAGGAAGATCTATGAATAATGGTAACGGC